ATTGTTAATTTCTAGATGTAAGTCAAGATATGAGGCAGACTTCGATTGGATAGATGCGTTCAACATAGTCACCAAAATTTGAATTATTTGGTAAGAGGACATCATCTTTTTAACGGAAATGGAAGTTAATGGATAATGCTAGTTCCTATGAAGCTCCAGACAGTACGAATAAAGAAAAAAATCGACGAGGAGAGAAAGAAAATTGGTTCCCAAGGGAATATCGATTGTTGGAACAAAACGTCCTCCAAACGTAAGAAATAGGTTGTCAATCAAGAAATCAAGTATCTTCGTAATGTCAGTTTAAAAATTTTTTGGGGGGAATACTTGTGTTAAGGGTAGAAGAGTCAAACGTTTCAATACTATTGCAAGAGGACAGAGACTTAGATTTTATGTACTCTAACAGATCTTTGGAATTTTTTGTATGCGCGTCTGATTCACACCACCCCTAGATTAGGTAGTTACACAATAACTTTGAAACCCGGCTTTGATTGCTAATTAAATTGATGTTAATAATTAAGAAATAGGTTTCGTGGAGGACTTGGAAGACCCAGCAATATAACGTTGTTTGTAAATACACTTATGTAATTAAGGTATCCAATACAGTATAAAGACACTTATGTAATTGGGGTATCCAATACAGTGAAGGAAGATCCATAGGAACATAGAACAGACCTATGATTATTCAAGATTTCCTCCTTGGTATGTGTCGTTGGGGTATATGTTGAGTTTCCCGCTAACGTGTTTTGACTTTGGGCGTTCCTGGTATGTGAAGGTGGGTCCTGAGGTGCGATTCGGACGCAAGTGGGTTTTGCAGTATTGTTTCCATTTGTTTTACCCTTGTATTTATATTTTATTTAGTTTGTACTTTATTTATAAAGTGTATACTATACATGGTATTTTCTATCTACTACAAAAATCTTTTTGTTGATGTCATTGTCAAACTTAATACCAACTACAACTTTTCTGTTGGCGTCTTTGTTTGATTTACGTGTATGTTTGTTTGAATTTTGTAGTGTTGTATGTCTGTGATGTTTATTTACACATTTCTTGGCTGCTTGATCCAAATGATTGTCACATTAACCTTTTATATAAAAATAAGGAGATGTGGTATGATTGCCAATGAAACAACTATCCACCAAGGTTCAAATGAAGTGGATATTTGCAATTATAGGCAACCGTACGTCTGATTGAGTTGCTCACCCAATTTTGTCAATATAACGGAACTATAAACAACTGTCATACAAGTGGGAGGTTTAGCTATCTATAAAACCAGGTTTAACCAACCATTTTCTTCTGAAAATGCATATTCCAAGTCAGGAATATGACGGTTGTTTTCCACTCGTTTCGTTGGTCGATAAAGTTTGATTTTTGTCAGTTTTTATAAATTTCCCTTTTTGAATTTACCTTGGAATTCGGTATTTTTGTTATACTTTTTTCCAAGTGTATTGTCAATACCTTATTCCTTTTATCAAGCAGTTAATGTAATGTGATTTACACACACAAAACGATGTTGTTTTGGACTTTTTCTTCGACATGTTAGTTATTGAGGTAGGGCAGGTGCTTGGCAACATGTGGGACTTTAAAGATCAATGTAGCATGTGTATTCATAGACCCATTTTTTTGTGTGCTTAATTTCTTATTTGTTTTAACGACCTCACAGCCTTAACCCATTCAGAAAGAGTATCTACGTCTTCTTTTTCGCGTTTAACCTATTGCCGTGCATAATCCTCATAAATAGGCAACCTTAGAGGAGAAAAGTACATTGTAGTAAAACTATGTGTTAACTTACGAAATGCCCAAAAAGAACCTTTTCGTGTTAATTTTGGGATAAAACATGTCTTACAAGGATAATTGATAAAATTTTATTAGAAAAACTTTTATTTGTTGTTTCTTCTGTTTCTAAAGATGAATACACAAAACACGAAACAGGGAACATTATTTGATTAAAATATGAAACTGCAATTTAAACAAAAATGTTAAGCAAATTAAGGGACCCGCTATCATTGACTCACGTTTATCTGATTGTATTCACTGAAACTGCAGTAAATGCAATTTTCTGCGATAGTTTTATAGCGTATATGGAATCACTAGAGGAACAATTCTTATGTTGTAAATATTCACCATTTACAGTTCTTCAAATTTTACTGATTTTTATACGACCGCAAAAAAATTTTTGTGGTTGTATATTGGTATGACGTTGGCGTCGTCGTCGTCGTTGTCGTTGTCGTCGTCGTCCGGCGTCGTCCTGCGTCGTCCGAAGACACATTGGTTTTCGCACTCTAACTTTAGTTTAAGTGAATGGATCTCTATGAAATTTTACCACAAGGTTCAATACCACAAAAGGAAGGTTGGGATTGATTTTGGGGGTTATGGTACCAACAGTGAAGGAATTAAGGGCCAAAAAGGGGCCAAAAATAAGCATTTTTGTAACTTCCAGACATAACTTGTGTGTTAGTGTATGGATCTCTCTCACATTGTAACACAAGGTTCCATATCACAAAAGGAATGCTGGGATTGATTTTTGGGGTAATTGCCTCAAAATTGTAGGAATTGGGGGCAAAAAAAGGGGCAAAAAAACAAGCATTTTTCTAGTTTCATGACAATAACTTGTGTTCAAGTGTATGGATCTTTCTGAAATTGTACTATAGGTTCCATATCACAAAGGGAAAGCTGGAATTGAGTTTGGGGGTAATTGCCGAAACGTTTTGGAATTGGGGGCCAAAAAGGGGCCAAAAATAAGCATTTTTTTAAGTTTCCAGACAATAACTTGTGTTCAAGTGTATGGATCTCTCTGAAATTGTACTGCAAGGTACCATACCACAAAGGGAAGGCTGGGATTGATGATGGGGGTAACTGCCTCAATATTTTAGGAATTAGAAGCCAAAAAGGGGCAAAAAACAAGCTTTTTTCTAGTTTCAGGACAATAACTTGTGTGTAAGTGTATGGATCTTTCTGAAATTGTACTACAAGGTTCCATATCACAAAGGAAAAGCTGGGTGTGAGTTTTGGGGTAATTGCCCTAAATGTTTAGGAATTTGGGGCCAAAAAGGGGCCAAAAAACACATTTTTCTAGTTTCCAGACAATAACTTGTGTTCAAGTGTATGGATCTCTCTGAAATTGTACTGCAAGGTACCGTACCACAAAGGGAAGGCTGGGATTGAGTTTGGGGGTGATGAATCATAAGGGGGTTCAAAAAATTTGGGGGGGGAGGGGTTTCATTTTTTTTTTCTTTTACAATTTTCCATTTTAAGTTGGTTATTTCTGATTTGTATTTAAAAGCAAATAATAATGATATGGTAGGAGATACACACCAAACAGGATGTGTAAATTATTATATTATAAGTATTGTGCAATACCAAGAAATTTTCAATTGCACAGTATTGCACAATAGCAAGAAATCTTCAATTGCACAGTATTGCGCAATAGCAAGAAATATCCAATAGCACAATATTGCGCAATAGCAAGAAATTGTCAATTGTACAGTATTGCGCAATAGCAAGAAATATTTAATTGCACAGTATTGTGCAAAAGAAGATACTTCATATAAATTGCTTATTTCTTGACCAATTTCAATGGGGTTTTATTCTTGAAATCTTGGGGTTCTTTAATATGCTGAATCTAACCTTGTATTTAGTTTTTGAATTTTCGGCCCCGTTTTTAAATTGGTCCACATTGAGGTCCAAAGGGTCCAAAATTAAACTTGTTTGATTTCATCAAAAAATGAATTATTGGGGTTCTTTGATATGCCGAATCTAACCGTGTATTTAGATTCTTAATTTTTGGTTCCGTTTTCAAATTGGTCTACATTAAGGTCCAAAGGGTCCAAAATTAAACTTAGTTTGATTTTAACAAAAATTGAATACTTAGGGTTCTTTGATATGCTGAATCTAAACATGTATTTAGATTTTTGATTATGGGCCCAGTTTTCAAGTTGGTCCAAATCGGGGTCCAAAATTAAACTTTGTTTGATTTCAACAAAAATTGAATATATGGGGTTCTTTGATATGCTGAATCTAACCATGTATTTAGATTTTTGATTTTTGGGCCCCGTTATCAACTTTGTCCACATTGAGGTCAAAAGGGTCCAAAATTAAACTTTGTTTGATTTCATCAAAAATTGAATTCTTGGGGTTCTTTGATATGCTAAATCTAACCATGTATTTAGATTTTGGATATTGGACCATAATAGGTGAATGTCCAATTTAAAATTTTTAAGTTCTTAGACCACATTCATTCTGTGTCAGAAACCTATGCTGTGTCAAATATTTAATCACAATCCAAATGCAAAGCTGTATCAAGCTTGAATGTTGTGTCCATACTTGCCCCAACTGTTCAGGGTTCGACCTCTGCGGTCGTATCAAGCTGCGCCTTGCGGAGCATTTTATTGTTTTTAAAATCCTAAAAATATGAAGAAGAATAAGAATAAAAACATTTGTCAATTTAAGGTGCCACGATGGGACAGCAAAGAAGAATGTGATTACAGTGTATTTTTAAAATTGCCATATAAGCGGGAGGTTTGGCTAGCCATAAAACCAGGTTCAACCCCCATTTTTTTCTTAAAATGTCCTGTACAAAGTCAGGAATATGGCAGTTGTTATCAAGTTACTATGTATTATGTATGTTTGTTTTTGTATCAGTTCAGTGTTTCTGTTGTTCCGTTGTTTTATAGTTGATGCGTTTCCCTCGGTTTTGGTTTGTGACACGGATTTGTTTTCGCTCAATCGATGTATGACTATTGAACAGTGGTATACTACTGTTGCGTTTCTATTGAAATACGTTTATATATGCTAGTAGTTACATTAAACAGCTTCGGACACATTTTAAAAAGTAGTCTAAATTAAAATAATACAGTAAGGAACAGAGGAAGCCTTGATATAACACGAATTCAAGTCAAGAGTAAAGACGTTTAAAACAAGAAAGTTCTGTCCCTACCTGTTCATTTATACATTTAAGCTACACAACACAACCTACTCTAATCTGTTAATTGCTTATATTTCAGAGTACAAGACATCTATGAAATATGGTAGAGGTGGTAGACGACAAGCATTCTGGAATCACAGTACAGAACATGTTTAAAGCATGGGAAGAAGGATTGTATTGTGATGTTACCTTAAAATGTGGAACAAAACAAATCACAGCACATAAAATTGTTCTGGCATCATTATCCGATTATTTCAAAAATCTTTTTAAATATCATAATATTCAAAGTGATAAACATTTTGAAGAGTATGAGTTAGATCCTAGTATTTTCAAAGAGGACACTCTTTATCAAATTATCCGATATGGTTACACTGGTAGAATTAAAATAGAAGTTGGATTTGTTCAAGAATTACTAATGGCAGCAAGTTTTCTGCAAATAAGATTTGTTCTGACCGAATGTGAAAAGTTCATGACACATAATATCGAAACCGACAATGTGATTGCTTTAGTGTCTTTCAGTAATCTCTTCAATTTAAAACGTCTTTTGGACGCAGTTTGCAGTTTTATTTCCAAAGATTTTAAAGACCTCAGTAAGAGTGGAGCATTCTGGAAGCTATCGACAGACGACTTTAAAACAGTGCTACACAGTGATCATTTGACTGTTTTTGAACATGGTATTCCAGTAGAAAATCCTGAACTGGAAATTTTGAAACTAGTTGGTGTATATCTTAGTATTACGAGTGTAAGTCACAAGGATTTCAAAGCATCTACCGTACTCGAATTGCTTGGGGAAATCCGTTTCAGAGACATTAACAACCTCGATGATTTGAAATCAGTTGTCGATCTTTATCCGATTCTGAATTGCCATTTACTTCAGAATGCCATTAATGCTGAATCGAACACTAGTGCAGAACTATTAGATCGCAAGTTTACAAACCGTCGTAAAACGCTCCGGACTGGGTGGAAAAGCTTTGCTGATGGTGGTCAAGAGAATCATGTTATTGAAAAGTTTGTTGAAGCTTGGGAAGATGGCAAGGATATAAATGACAGACCAATAAACTTTAAGCTGTGGATAAGAAGGTGGTATAATCTACCAGTTTTGGGTGGAATTTCTATACAGTATCGAAGTGGAAAACTTGTAATACACGGCGGAAAGCCAAACTCTGAATCAATATTTGTGTCAGAACATGAATTTTCACTGGAAGAAAATGAAGTAATCACCAAAATAAACGTACGTAGTGGGTGGATGATTGACAGTATAAAATTTTTCACCAATTTTGGACGAGAGTTTGGTCCATTTGGGGGCCCTGGTGGAACAGAAATAAAAACTGAATCATTATATAATGACGCAATGAGTTATTTACATTCGTTCGATGGGAAGGTCGTTATGGCCACGGGTTATCTTGGAATTACGTGTATGAAATTTGTATGGGTGAGTTATCGTGAAAATCAGTGTAATGAGATTTTCCCAAACAGTGAAAGCGAAGAAGATTGTGCTTTTCTATCAAGTTATGATGGATCAGAGACTGATTGAATTGACAAAGAGCAATGTATACAAGTCTAACAACTAAGGTTACAAGAATATGATTACTTAGATGAAAGGGAACAGTTGATGTCTCCCAGTAAAGTTCGTAATCAAAACTCGGAATCCAAGAAATAAGGGAATGTTTCATGGTTAAGTGGCTAATGTTGAGGTTGAGATGTATATATTCGAGTGACTTTGAAAAAATATCAATAATTTTTTTTCAAATTTCCAATTACTGTCAGGAAATCAATGTTAGTGAGATACATCCGGTTCCAATTTGTTCGATTGACGTCTGGATTCGGAACAGACGGCACATGTTCAGAACACATTAACCGAGCGCACCCAATGTTTGTCCCGTTTTAGCAAGAACGTTATCAATTATAACTTCACTCGAAAACGTTCTGCAGCCGGTTGTACGAACGTGGCATTATCCTAATGGGTCATTAAGTCTTCATTAAGCCTTTACGATGCATTAGGCTAATGAAGACTTAATGACTCATTAGACTAATGACACGTTCGTACAACCGGCTATAGGAGCTTGATGTAAAATTGGTTTAAAATGTTGCTATGCGGATAAATTCCTGCAGTACCAACATCAATGGTTTTTTCTACTAGCTTTATACCTCTCTGGAACATGCTAATTATCCGTCTATATATGTAGCTAGATCAGAGAAGTTCAAGGACTCGATTAATAACAATTTTGAAATTAAATTACTAAGCAAATTTAAACGGACCTTATTCGGATGTAAACATTGAATGTTGCGAATAGATCGAGAAGACCACAAATACACGTACAAAAACCAAGACGATTTTTCTTATTATTGTATAAAATTGTAAAAAGATACCTCTTTATAAAAATATTAATCTTTCATTTTTGAAACTGCACAGACAGACTTTTAAATTGTTATATTCACAAAAAGACATATTTCTATATTGAATGTTCACGTGAAAAGAGTAGACGGGTGTACTCGAAAACTTACAACGGTGAAAAATAAGTATATTTTGGGAAATTATAACATGCTAAGGACTTAAAGTAAAATATCAAAATTACCGAGCTCCAAGGAAAATTCAAATCGGAAAGTCCCTTATCAAATGGCAAAATCAAAAACGAATGGAAAACCACTGTTATATTCCTGACTGGGAACAGTCATTTCCTTATGTAGAAAATGGTGGATTGAACCTGTATAATATGCCAATACATGCGCATTGGTGTAGGCTTCATATGGAATCATTCACAAAGAGGATAAAGAATAATAATGTGCTAAACTTAAAGAACTTTTCGAGAGCCTGCTAGCTAAACGGAACATTCAGATTTTTTTGTTTGTTCTGCGGCCATTTTAATACATTCAGGATTCTACTTCGTCAAAATTATCTCCCCATTACGCCACCTAATTTTTATAATCGTAAAAATGGAAACCACTGTAGGGATGACGCGCTGTCAATTTAGCTCTTGAAACCCGATAAATTTATCCACATAGCATCATTACGATCCTTATATGCCAGTTGTATTTTAAAAGACAAATGTATCTACAGGCTATTGAGCATCATTGAATGTACTTTTATGCCCGGTTGTCAGGGGAAATTTTCGAAAGTTCAAAAACATTCTAATGAAATATTTCGTGGAAGGGCAGAATAAAAATTTTCAGAGGTTGAAGACTAATAACCTTAGATAATACACACAAAAAATGAAGTTTTTTTAAGATATGCATTTTACAGATCGGCTGGGATAGATCCACTTGTAAAGTCTGTCGTCAAATACTTTTATTTAAGGTTTATGACCCCTTCTGTGGCCTGTGAATTATGAACTTTTCAAATTGCAAAAGCATCAAAACAGCAAATATAAGGAATAATAAAGATGGGTCATTTTGTACATATACCAAGGGGAAACTTCGTGCAAAGCATAATTATTTATAGTTTCATTGCATTTAATAGAAAAGGGGAATTAGGTGAAAATAAAATCAAGAATTTTGTATAAAATCCACAGACTTTAATACAAAGATTTTTGTTATAAAATTTGAAACATAGTTTACTCACTTGTTTTTCAATGATCAGCTAGCGTTTATTGTTTACAAAAAGTCCTAAACAACCTTTAAATTCCAAAACACCTCGTGCTGAGCCATTGAAGTCGAGCGCACCCTAGAAGGTGTACTTGAATTGGTCCATATTTTTATTTATTTTAACCAATATCTAAATTTATAAACTTGTTTTAAGGAAATCATTGCTAGCACTGCATGCAATAATCCTCTATCTATCAAGTACCGAATTGCCAAATATGAGAGTACAAGTGGAAAGGCTGTGGATTTTCTATAAAATTTCCATATGTTTAGCATTGAAGCAACACAGGGGTACATAATCCTTAAACACACCTACTCTGTTGTAATGACTCATTTGAAAGGTATTTAACTTAATTGACCCATATATTTTAGTTTTTATTACTGTGAATTTTTAATTTTATTATATCAACATGTAGCGTATATATATATATATATATATATATATATACAAGTCTAATTTGAAAACAACGTTCAAACCTATGATTGCGTTGGATAAAAACCGCAATTTTTATACGTGTGCATGTAAAACAAATTTCTTAGTAGAGGGGTCTAAATACAGCACAAACAACATTTTCCAAAAGACCAAAAAAGTGAAAAGTATATTTTAACAAATCGCATTTGACTAACAGGTCGAACAACTGATGTTCTTTAACCCTGCTGACTGCCATGGACGATTGCCAAATAAATTGATCACGAGATGTAACATGGATCTAAATTATTAATTTAATACCAAACAGAAAACAATAAACTTGCGGAGAAGATGGTATACCGCAAACATGAGGTGCAAAAATTTGTACACCATATCCGGATTTCGACAATCAATGTCTCTTCAGTGATGTAAGGGATCGAAACGGTATTTGGAAGGCCATATAATTTACCTCAATTTAGGATAGACTCTTGAATTTTAAAGAGTCGAAATAGGATGAACGGATCATATAAACCCGAAGGCAAATATAATACAAGCCCAAACGAAAAAATATAAACAAGTCTAAATTGAAAACAACGTTCAAACCTATGATTGCGTTGGATAAAAACCGCAATGTTTATACGTGTGCATGTAAAAAAAAAATTCTTGGTAGAGGGGTCTAAATACAGCACAAACAACATTTTCCAGAAGACAAAAAAAGTGAAAAGTATATTTTAACAAATCGCATTTGACTAACAGGTCGAACAACTGATGTTCTTAAACCCTGCTGACTGCCATGGACGATTGCCAAATAAATTGATCACGAGATGTAACATGGATCTTAATTATTAATTAAATACCAAACAGAAAACAATAAACTTGCGGAGAAGATGGTATACCGCAAACATGAGGTGCAAAAATTTGAACACCATATCCGGATTTCGACAATTAATGTCTCTTCAGTGATGTTAGGGATCGAAACGGTATTTGGAAGGCCATATAATTTACCTCAATTTAGGATAGACTCTTGAATTTTAAAGAGTCGAAATAGGATGAACGGATCATATAAACCCGAAGGCAAATATAATACAAGCCCAAACGAAAAAATATAAACAAGTCTAAATTGAAAACAACGTTCAAACCTATGATTGCGTTGGATAAAAACCGCAATTTTTATACGTGTGCATGTAAAACAAATTTCTTGGTAGAGGGGTCTAAATACAGCACAAACAACATTTTCCGAAAGACCAAAAAAAGTGAAATATATATATATATAAATAAAAGAATCTGAAGCGAGATGATGTATCAAATATTTTTTGCTTTATACGTTTTCAAGACAAAATAGTCAACTCAAACACGCCTGAACATAAAAAGGTGTACTCGACTTTATCTTTTCGATGAAATTATTACCCATTTTTAGATTTTCTTCCCAAAAAAATTTCGCCGGGGGCAGAGATGCAAATTGATGCTTTAAAAAGATCAATCTTTTATCTTTCTGTGAAGTTTTTTTCGGCGGAATTTATGCTTATGCACAAAAAAGATCCACGTGTATTTTGTACACACCACAATCAACTCTTTTATGAAAAAAATTCTTTAATTTAAAATTTACAAATATCTCGAAGCTCTATACTATAATTTAATTAAAGACACGTATTTAAAAATTCTAAATTATGCACCTTCATTACCCCTGGGCCCCACCCAAAATCCGCCTCTTCTTTTAAAGTCCATAGAAACAGATATAAACAATTGAAATATACCAACTTTTACCTTCTGTAATAAAGTGCTCCATTTCTTTTGTTTAAGGAGTATGTACCCTTGTGCATGTTGATTCAATGTTAAACATATGGAAATTTTATAGAAAATCCACTGCCTTTCCCCACGTACTCTAAATTTTGGCAATTCGGTGCTTGATAGATAGAGGGCTGTTGCATGCAGTGCTAGCAATGAATTCATTAAACAAGTTTATAAATTTAGATATTGGTTAAAAAAGATATAAATATTTCCACGTTGTTTTCACTGTATACTGTCTCAAATGGTGATGTCTTTAAATATCTCACAAATCTAGATATTAATAAATCAACCGGGACCGATGGAGTTGGCCCAAGAATATTAAAAATATCAAAATCAATAATTGTAGATGCTCTTACTCATATTATAAACCTGAGTTTATGTACATGTATATTTCCTGATATTCTAAAGTATGCAAAATTAACTCCAATTTTCAAAGCCGGTAATAAGGATGATCCTAACAATTATCGTCCTATCTCAATTTTACCTACAGTGTCCAAGATTTTTGAGAGGACTGTGTTTAAACAATTATATTCATTTTTAACTAAATACAAACTACTAGTACAACAACAATCTGGATTTAGAGAAAAACACTCATGCCACACAGCACTTATCAAAATAATTGACAAATGGTTAGAAGAATTTGACAAAGGCAATTTCACTGCTGTTTTATTTCTAGATTTTAAAAAAGCATTTGATACTGTTAACCATAACATCTTATTATCGAAACTTAATTTATATAGATGTGATGATCACTCTGTTAAGTGGTTTTCGTCCTACCTTTCAAATAGATTGCAAAAGGTTAAAATTGGAACAACTGAATCAGGATACAATAATGTAACATTCGGGGTCCCACAAGGTTCCATATTAGGACCTTTATTATTCTTAATCTATATAAATGATCTCCCGTTTACATTAAAACACACAGAGTCTGAATTATATGCTGATGACACAACTTTGCATATATCGTCTA